TTTTGTTTGTTTTGTTTTTGTTTGTTTTTAATAGCACGAGTTTATTTTCTCATTCATATGCAGACTAGAAATCAGAGGTCAAGATGCCATCAGGTTTGGTTCCTTCTCAGGCTCTCTCCCTGGCTTGCAGATGGCCGCCTTCTCACTGTGTCCTCTTGTGGTCTTTCCTCTGTGCATGCATGTGTCTGGTGTCTCCCAGATCTATGAATTTTGGCAAATGCATAGTCATGTTACCACCACCAAGCTATAGAACAAGCCCATCACCATAAACAATTCTGTCATCTTGTAGTCAGTCCATTCCTTGCCCCCAGCCCCTGATATATTCTCCTTCTCTATAATTTCTATAATTTCACATTTCCAAAATGTTGTGTGATTGGCGTTTTACATTAGGTAGCCTCTTGAGTCTGATTCTTTAACTTGCCAATGCATTTGAGATTTGCCCCTGTTGTGTGGCTATCCATAGTTTGCTCACATTCATTGCCGAGGAGTATTTCACTGTGTGGATGTGACATGGTTCAGTTATCCATTCACTGGTCCAAGTGCATTTGGGTTATCTTCAGGTTTTGACGACTGTGAATTAAGTTGCTTTAAATATGTACATAAATTATTGTGGAAATATAATAGGTTTCATTTCATTTGGGTAAATAACCAGCAGTGGGATTTCTGGGTCACGGGGGACATGCATGTTTATAAGAAACTGCCTCACTGATCCCCAGAGGTCACCACCACTGTCATTCCTGTCAACAAAGTATAACAGTTCCTGCTCCTCCGCTCCTTAACATCGCTTGATACTGTCAATATTTGTTAGTTAAGTGATTCTAATATACTGTTATGATTTTAGTTTGCGAATGATGTTAAAAACCTTTATTTGTACTTACTTGTCATCTGTAGATCCTCTTGTGTAAAGTGTTTGATCAAGTCCTTTGCCCATTTATTAATTCTGCTGGGTTTTAAGAGTTGTTTATAAATTCTGTCAGATATGTGATTTGCAAATATTTTTTCAGTCTGTAGTTTATTTTTTTATTTATCAGTCTGTCTTATGGAGCAAAAGTTTTACTTTTTCATTAAAAAGTGCAGTTTATCGATTTTTTTCTTTTATGATTTTGCTGTTGATGTCATTGCCTAAACCTAGGCCATAAAGAATGCTTTGCCTAAACCTAGGCCATGAAGATTTTCTTCCATGTTATTTTTCCAGAAGTGTTATAGTTACATGCCTTACATCTAAATCTGTGCTTCATTTTGAGTTAATTTTTGTATAAGATATAATGTTTAGTCAAAGTCCATTTTTTTGGTAATGATTGTTCAATTTTCTAGTACCATCTATTAAAAAATTATTCTTTCTCTACTGCACATTTGTAAAAAATCAGCTGGTTATATTTGTGTGGTTCTGTTTCTGGGTTATCTGTTTTGTTGCATTGATCTATGTGTCTATCTCTCCTCAAACACCAAACAGTCTTGGTTATTATATTGTATAATAAATCTTAAAGTCAGATAGACTGATTTCCCCTTGATTCTTTTTCAAAACTATTTTAGTTATTCTGTTTCCTTTACCCTATCCATCTTAGAATTATTGTGTGTACATCTATAATTTTAGAATTATTGTGTGTACATATAAAAAAATCTTCCCAGGATTTTTATTGGAATTCTGTTAAACCTGTAGGTAATTTTGGAAATAACTGACATCTTTATGATATTGGGTTTTTCAATCTCTGAATATGGTTGTCTCTTCACTTATTTCAGTCTTCTGTGGTTTCTTTCATCAGCATTTGTAGTGTTCAGCATTCAGATTATGTGCATGTTTTGTTAGATTTATACCTATGTATTTCATTTGTGGGGCAAGCAATTGCAAATAGTATTATTTTTAAATTTTTGTTTCCAATTGTATATTGCTGGTCTATAGAAATGTGACCAATTTTGTGTTAACTTTGTAACTTGTGACCTTACTAAGCTCACTTATTAGAGGGTTATTTTTGTACGTTATTTGGGATTATACATAATCATGTCATCTGAAAATAAGATAGTTTGATTTTTTTCTTTCTAATCTAATTCTTTCTTTTTTTTCCTTTTTTCTTTTCTTCCTCCTCTGCCACCCAACACCTTTTGCATTGATTAGGACTTTCATCATGATGTTGGATAGGAGAGGAGAGAGCAGATATTCTTGCCTGTTCTTAACCTTAGGGGGAAGCTTATTTATTTAGAAACATTCCTCTTTTCTAAAATAGGTATTTAATGCTTTAAATTTCACTAATTTATCTGCATGCCACAAATTTTGATGTTATCTTTTCAAAAATTCAATTCAAAATATTTTCTCTTATTTTCTTGCTGATCTTGATTTTTATTTGATACCATTTTCCTTCATCCTGAAGTATTTCCTTTAGCATTTCTTGTAACGCAATTCTGCTGACAGCAAACTCCCTAGCATTCATTTACTGCAAGCATGTCAAACTCCCGGTCCGAGGGCTGCATGCGGCCCACAATGAATATTTTCGTGGCTGAGCCAATATAACGGTATGTAAAAATGTTTTAATAAACATTTTGTAACTTAATTTTTACAATATCCTGTTATACATAATTATTAATAACGAACTACAATGTTCACTAATGACTGATTACTATAATTGTGTCGCATTCATTTCCCTTATGCACAGGGGCACCATTTCTCTCCACTAATACTAGCAGAGAATATTTTAGCAGCTAATTGCCACGTCATTAGTCTGGAGTGACTTGTTTGGTGTGCACACTGGAAATATTTCACTTTCGGAGAATAAGAAAAATAGGTTTATTTGCATTACACTTATTAATTTGTGCAGTTATTCAGTGTCTGGTAAGTTAATGTTCAAGAAAAAATATTAATTTTTATTAAAATGTCCTATTTTATGTTAACAATGACTCACTTATTTCAACCCTTTGTATTCAGCATGTCTCTATCAAAATAAACCTACATTTCTATGGAAATTGAAGTTTTTAAACCTTATTTATTTGGCCTGTGTTAGCCTTTGAGTTTGACATGCTTGATTTCTGGAAAATGCCTATACTTCACCTTTTTTTTTTTTTTTTTAAGGATATTATCAATGGAAATAAAATTCTAGGTTATCATATTTTTCCTTTCATCAGTATGAAGTGTTGCTCCATTGTCTCTTGGCCTACATAATTTCTTGTGAGAAGTTAGGTGTTTTTTTTATTGTTCTTCTTTTTTAGAGTCTCCCTTTCCCCCCTGGATTTTTAAAAAATTGCCTCTTTATTTTTGGTTTTCTTCAGCTTGACTGTTCTGTTCTTACATGTCTTTGTCTTTTTTTTTTTCCTTCTTGGGATTCACTGAGCTTCTTGGATTTGTGTATTGAGGTATACCTTTATTCCACTGCACAGTGCTTCCTGGTATGCATCCCTCATATTGTGGTTCCCCATCCTGTCTTTGACAAACTCTTGGGATGCTTCCAGCTCCCCCTAAAAAATACAGTTGCCATGAGCATTGTTCTACATGTCCCCTTAGCTGGGTACGATTTTATTTGGGATATTAGAACCCAGAGTAGAATTGCTGGCTTGCAAGGTTTGCCTATACTAAACTTGACTGAGGATTGCCAGTTGTCCATATGATGATAGGATGATTCTCAAGTGAGGAAAGAATAATGGTAAGGAGAGCGGAAAGAGTGGGGAGAATTTCTAGGGCCTCATGCTTGAATGGTGAGAAGGGACTGTACCCACTGTGCAAGTGGAGGAATTAGCCAAGAACAGGGACAGTTCATCCCCAGAGAAGGAGGAAAAGTGGAGGTCTGGGCCAGATGCAGGTAGATGGATCTGTGTTGTGGCTGAAAATTTTCTTCTTTGGCTTCTATTTTCTTGGGATATAGGAAGCAACCTGAGGGGCAGGATGGGGAGGAGGTATTGGCAATTCAAAGAGAGGAAGGTATGAAATAGCTGTCTTGGAGACTGGGAGTGTGCATGACCAAGGCAAGAGAGCCCACTTGCTGGGCAGTGTGCAGGCTGCTCTTGGGTTAGTGAGAGTGGGCAGTGCTTCTGGGAGAGGTCGGGCATGGAGCAGGTCCAGTACAGGGCTCTAAAGGCTCAGGTTAGCAGTACTCCATGCCTGGCACTGTTCTGGGCTCTGTGGGCCCAGGCGAGCAGTGCCAAGGGGCTACTGATTACCACAGACCCATAATTCTGTGGGGTGCCTGGGCAGGCAGGGCTGGTGACAGTGTGGTGGGAAGGTCTGCAATTATGTGATCAGGTTGCTCAGAGGTGTAGGTACTCAGTGCTTCTCTGTCTATAGCTCTATTTTGTATTATAAAAGTGATACATACCACACCAAGAAAATTTAGGAAAAGGTAAAAAAAAAAAAAAAAGATAAATGAAAAAGTAGATCATCTGAAATCCATGCTCTCCCCATGCTGCCGAGAGGCAGCTACTATTAGTTAATATTTGGATGTCTTATTATTAAAGAAAAGCTCTTTCCCTGCCCAACGGGCCTTTGAAATCTGACCTCATGTCAAAATGTGAGTAAGTCCCCCCACCAAATGTAGCCAAGCAGCAGTGTGGTAGGCTGAATGGGCCATGAGGGTCCTCTCCCCATTCCTGGCAGAAGTCAGGGAGGCCTGCATGGAGGGGGTGGCCATGAATTGGGTCTTGAAGGTTGAGGGTTTCTTGAGCCTGCCTTGCTGTCTTTATCCCTCCTGTCTCCCCTTGTTCAGTGTCTTTCAAGGGCAGAGCTAGCTCCCAGCCCCTGTCCTACTGTGTGGCTAATGGGGTGGTCACGCTGCAGGTGAGACGAGTAGGGATGGCCCACTGTGTGTGAGGACAGGGAGGCAGAGTGGCCTGAACATGCTGTTCCACTATAGCCCCTCCCTTTGTGCAGGTTGAAGCTTGTGTATACACAATACTCATGCAAGGAGAGTCCCTCCATTCCCGACATCAGCCCCTGGACTGGCACCCTCTCCCTAGCAAGAAGGAGAAGGATGGTGGGGGTTTAACATGTTCCACCCTCCTGGGTCTGTGTGCCCCTCCAGATAGCAGCGACAGTGAGCTGGAGCTGTCCATGGTGCGCCACCAGCCAGAGGGGCTGGAGCAGCTGCAGGCACAGACCAAGTTCACCAAGATGGAGCTGCAGTCCCTCTATAGGGGCTTCAAGAATGTGAGTGATCCCCACCCCTCAGGAGAGGCCCTGACCCACCAAACCCTTTCACCTTTGCCTTCAGGAAGGGGAGTTCTGGCTCAGGCAGGCCTTCTAGAAACTTCCATGGAACAGCAAATATTCTGGGGCCTTGATGAGGCTCATGCTTTGTGGGAGATCAATCTGGGGACTGTGTAGACCAAGCCCCTGAGTCAGTGTTCTGAAGGCCCTGGGCTTCTTTCTGTGTGTCTATGGGCTGGCACAGGGAAGGGTGTACGAGACCAGATTGGCCCAAGGGGACCAGCTCCCCTCCCCCCCACACACACCTACCCCTCCTGCCTCACCCCCCAACCACCAGGCTCTCCTGGGGGCCCAGAGGGAGGAGTCAGGGTGCGGGGCTGGGGTGGCCGAGGCTGCTGAGGGTGACTTACTGCTGCAGGAGTGTCCCTCGGGCCTGGTGGATGAAGACACCTTCAAACTCATTTACGCACAGTTCTTCCCTCAGGGAGGTGAGTCTGAGGCCAGACCCCTGCCCCCACTTCTCCCAAAGCCCTCACTTTGTCCCCTGGCAGTTCTGCAGAGGGCGGGTGTCCCTTTACGGGGAGGGGACCCTCACCTCCACCTCTGTGCTCCCCACCACCATTTGCTTTCTGGAGGCCTGATGCTGCCTCTATCCCATTGGAAGGGGGTACCCCAGCTCAGGACACAGATGGACCCCCAGTGGGGCTGCCTGACGTGGGGGCTTGGCTGCCAGGGGGCCCCCCTCACCCCAGCCAGTGCCCTTGTCTCCTCCAGATGCCACCACCTATGCACACTTCCTCTTCAACGCCTTCGACGCTGACAGGAATGGGGCCATCTGCTTCGAGGTAGGTCTCCGCTGTTCCCTCCCATGTCCCCCGTGGCAGGCCAGGCGTCCCTCTGCCCTGGTCCACACCCTCGGGCTCTCTAGAGGGTCAAGCCTGGTCCTGGTGTACATGGACCCGCGTGTGCCCTGGAGAACAGGTGGACCGTGTGTGGCTGGCCCGGCCTCCCTGTGAAGTCAGCAGAATTTGGTTTTGCTGTCTGGCCATCCTCTTCCCAGCCTTGTCTTCCAGCCCAGCCCAGTGAGCCCAGAGCCACTGGGGCACCCTGAGGTGGCAGTGACCCAGGGTGAGCTTCCAGAGGAGAAAGGGACAGGGTCCCACTGAGAGATGTGTGCCGACAGCGGGCTGCAGGCCCAGCCCCAGAATTCCCCACCGTTGTCGGAAACAGACGGAGCACCTGGCCTGAGCAGGCTCCTGCCGTCCCAGCCTGGTGTCTTCACTGTCAGCAAGGGGAGCCTGCCCGCCGCAGTGTCCGCAGCAGGGCCTCGCCTGGCTCTGTGTGGGCGGCCATGGGTCCCCCCAGGCCACAAGATCACTTGAAGGAGGCATCTCGGTGGAGCCCACGCCCCTAAAAATAGCTGCAGGTGAAAAGCTGAAACCTCTTAGGGGAGGAAACCCATGCTGAGAGCCAGGCGTGATCGATAACCACTGGGCCAAGGGCAGTGACAGGAAAGCCTGCGGACCAGCCGAGGGTGTGTGTGTGTGTGAGTGTGTGTGTGTGTGAGATAATAGTAGCTTTAAGATAGCACCTAACATTGCTGCATTCCTCTATGTGCCCGCCCACCCAGTGCTGCTGACACGGCCTGGGTGATCACGGGGTCTGCCCCCTCGGCCCACGCTCAGGGCTCCTGCGCGTGTGTGCATGTGCAGTGCTTCCAGCTTCCCTTCTCCGGAACCTGCACACAGTGCACACCCCGTCAGCACAGGGGGAGACAGCAGGGAACGCTCACTGTCCTTGGCCCCTCGCTGTGACCAGTTTCTGCAGATCCTTCTCGAAGCTCCTGAGACGCCTGGGAAGGGGGTGTGGGAAGGTGCTGGTGTGAGGGACACACCAGGGCGTTGTGGTGGTTCCTCTCGTTCTGAAATCAGAGGCTCGGACTGCTCAGCAGGGCCCCTCTGTGCCCAAGGGCCAGGAGGGGGCAGTGCCAGGAAGGCCGGGGTCCCTCTCTGGTGGCCACCCCCCTCGGGAGGGCTCTTCCGGTACTATTAGGGTGGTGGGTCTTTGGGGGCTGTGTCGGTGGCTGAGTTGAGAGTGCTGGTGCTGAGGCCCCTCTGCCTGGCACCTCTCAGGCTGTCCCCTCTGGTTCATCCGGCCTTCCGTGTGCTTCTCTGCATGTGAGGTAGCGCCTCTGCGTCCACCTGGTGTGTGTTCTCCATGACGACCTTTCTCCTGATCCCGCGTCTGCTTGGAGAGGCTCTTCCAGGAAGGGAGGAGGGCAGTGCCTCCCCAGGGACCGCCCACCGGCCAGGAGGGTCCCGCAGGTTTGGGTGGCACTTGGCCCCCTCACGGCTCAGACTCAGCATGTTCTGGAAATGGAAACTCGGGTCCGTTTACGGGCATTTGCAGGGATTCCGATGCTTTTGTATGTTCTTGAGAGACAAGACCCATATTAATGAAAATGGATTGAAATGGGAAAATATTAAAACTTCCCTGCTCTCACCAAAGACTACCAGAAACTAGATGGGCAAGACCAGCAAACCTAGCATGGAGCGTGGTCCCACGTTCTCCCTCCTGGTCCCCTGGGCTGGGCCAGAGGAGGGAGCCTGAGGCCGGCCTCCCCTCCTGGGCTCAGACAGTGCTGCACGCAGATGCTAGCCAGGGCCTTGCTCATCCACCTCACTGGTCTGCAGGGCCCTGCTCCCTTGGAGAGTTCTGGCTTGCGTGTGTCTCAGGGAAGCTGTGACTGCCTTTACCCTCCCCTAACCTCCCCCCCTAAGTGACCCGCTCCTGGTGACTGACCACACAGGGTGTGCCCTGAGCAACCAAGAAGGCCTGCAACTTCAGTCACACCCTCGGCCCCACCCCTGGCAGAGCTCCTGCCCAGTGCTCCATCTCGCACCCCTCGGGGCATGCTGGGTGTCTTAGTTTGGAGGCCTCTCTGCGTCACTGTGTGGCTTATAGGAGCCCCTCAGCCCGGGCTCTGCCACAGGGACAACCCCAAAGCGGGGCTGTGGATGGGATAGGCTTCTTTTGTCTCGGATTTAAGGGCAAGGAGTCACAGAACTAGCCATGGCCCCGCCCACTGCTGTGCTGTGTGGGTTGGCGATTTAGACTGGGAAGCTGTGGACTTGGGGCCACCGGTGTGTCACCGAGGATGGGCACAGTGCCACCACCTCTCTCCCGGTGCCATCGCTGCTGCACAACACTCACTGAGGGACATTGAACGGGGCGGTTGTCAGAATCCAGAGAGCCTGTCAGACCCCAGGGGAGAGAGAGAGGTGTGAACTCAGAGGCTTTGACTCTTCGCTGCTGAGGAAACTGCCAGCAAGAGTCAGCGGTGCCCTCGACTCCAAGGACTGTCCGCGGTTTTCCTAGACACACTTTCATCTTCTTCACCTAAACACACACATGAGGTCAAGAGTCCCGTAGATGACAGGTTATAGACGTTGGGAAACAGCAGCTGACTCTCCACATGCTGAGGAGGCAGCCTCCTCTGACTGTTACTGTTCTCACGGCAGCACGGGCGGCCTCCACTCCTCCTTCCTGACTGTGCATCCTCAGATCCTGGCAAACTACGGGGAGGGCGCCCCTTTATGAAAGAGTGCCCCCAGGTGTCCTCCATCAGAGCAATGCATTGTGGTCTAAGACACCATACGTTTGAATGGCTTTACTTGAGATGATCAGTATCAGCCACCATGTCATCCCAAACACACACACACACACACACACACACACACACACACACACACACGCGCGCACACACTTACACACACACACATGCACACATTTACACATGCACATATTTTCACATATGTACACACTGTCAACCTCATAGCCCCTGCCTGCTCTGTAAGGGAAGCCCCTCACTCTAGAGCTGTGACTCAGTGGAAGCCACACAGCGAACTGGAAACAGAATCTGGAGTCAGATGGTCACCCCGCACCCTCCCTCCCTCCCTCCCAGGACTTCGTGGTTGGCCTCTCCATCCTCCTGCGAGGCACAGTCCAGGAGAAGCTCAAGTGGGCCTTCAACCTCTACGACATTAACAAGGACGGCTACATCACCAAAGAGGTACGGGGCCTGAGGCGTAGCCCTCTGCCCCCCTGCCCCCACGGCTGCTGCCCAGGCTGTCCTGCCTCCCCCTCTCCCCCAGAGACCAGGTAGGGGACAGCCACCAGGGGCTTCTCCTCTCCTGGACTCTGTCCTGGGCCCCTGGCTGCAGGGAGCATGGGGCTGTGTGCCCCTCACTACACATCTGGGTTCAGTTCTGCAAGTGTCCTAGGACCATCCCTTCGGCCTGGGGAGACACAGGTGGAGAAGCAGAGGGTGGGGCTGGCCTTGGCTCCCACCAATCAAGGGGAAACGGGGGCCGGAGCAGGTGGGGGGGCTCACCACATGGGGCCATAGTTGGGTTATTTTGGCCCAAATACTTTTGTATACGAAATAGTGGCTACAGTCTCAAACGTTGGAGACAAAAAGTCTACCTCTGACTTTTCTTGAAGAGCCAGAGCTTCACTGGGCAAAGCAGGGGCGGGGGCAGAGCAGGGGTCCTCCCAGCTGGCTCAGACCTGCCCTGGAGGGGATCTCCACCCGTGGGTGCAGCCCTCCCCTCTGGCCCTTGCACGCTCCCCTACCCTTGCAGCTGGACTCATGCCAGCCCCTCTGCCCTCCAGGAGATGCTGGCCATCATGAAGTCCATCTATGACATGATGGGCCGGCACACCCTCCCCCTCCTGCGGGAGGACGCGCCCCTGGAGCACGTGGAGCGGTTCTTCCAGGTGAGAGCTCCAGCCAGCTGTGTGGCCAGGAGAGGAAGGGGCTCCTGCTCAGGGCACCTGGGCGAGCCCCCCTGAGCCCACCCTCCCACAGGAGGGTAAATGGGCATGCCCGCTCAGCTGAACCTCGGCTCAGGGCCAGCTGGGCTTATATTATAGATTCCAAGGTAGCTGACATCTTGGCATGTCCTGGTGCCTCCCAAGAGCTCCCCGGCTCCTCCAGGGAAACTGTCCGCAAGAGGAATGACTTCTCTGTGTGTCCATGGGACACGTGGCCCTTTTGTGCTTTGGTTGCTCCACCTGTCCTACTTTAGTATCAGGGTGAATTCTGGGAATTGTAAGCCCAGGAGGCCGTCAGAAGCATCTGGGGCTGGATGGCAGACTGGGGAGAGGTCAGCTGTGGGGTGCAAGGAGCTGAGGATCCAGTGTAGGGGACAGAGGGGTAGGTTGGGGTGGAGGAGGTCCTTTCTCTGCTAAGTCCTCAGGCCTGGGGCAGGGACTGTACCTGGTGAGACACAGGCTCATCGAGGGTGTGGCTTCGGTTGCAGAAAATGGACCGGAATCGGGACGGGGTAGTGACCATTGATGAGTTCCTGGAGACCTGTCAGAAGGTAGGTGTCCTTGGAGTTGAGAACACTTAGTGTCCTGTCCCATCCAGTTCTCAGGCCACTCCCCACCCAAGCTCCCTTTCACTCTTTCATCTGAATCACTCCCCCGGCTCCTTCCAGCCACAGCGCACTTGGGCACGCTATAGCTCAGCCCTGCCCTTGCGTGCTTTGACTTAGAGGGGGCAGATGTGGAGCCAACAGGGGGTGATGAGGCAGTGTGGCCCTTGGGCAGGGTCATGCTGGGGGACAGGACCTGGAGCCTCCCAATTTTGCTGTCTCTCCTCTGCAGAGCACCCTTGGGGTCAGGGAGGCAGGGTGTCAGACCTCTGCCACTTGCCTCACTCCCAGTGACCTGTCCATGGCCCTTGGCCTCCGCTGGGTGAGCAACCAGGGAGGTTTGGCCTTCAGTGAGTTAGCCAATCCCAGATGGGCTGCAGTCAGGCCTTGGGACTGAAGACTGGCTGGGCCTGACCAGCTCCTCCTGGCCCAGGGACACAGACAGAGCGGTCCCTGCAGAGGCTGGTCCCTGACCAGAATCTGCTCAAGGTGACCAGAGGTGGGCACCACCTGCCCTGTCCACCTGAGTCCGACCCGGCCTCTCATCCCCTCTCCACGCAGGACGAGAACATCATGAACTCCATGCAGCTGTTCGAGAACGTCATCTAGGACACACGGAGGATCCCCAATGGCCATCGTCACCACCTCAATCCTGCCAGGAACAGCCTCCAGGAGAAACGTTTTTCTAATATATTTGCAAAAAGTGAACAGTTTGCCACACACACACACACACACACACACACACACATGCACGCATACACACGTGTGTGCACCATTCCTCTGGGCTAGGTGGGGGAGGGGTGCTGCTTCTGGTTGGGACCTGGGTCCAGGCGATTTGAGCTACCCCCCAGCCAGCCCACCCCAGGCCAGCAGAGTGAGGCTGCCTACGCAGTGGGCAGAGAGCAGAGCGGTGTCTGCAGCCATTGGCTGCTGGGTGTGCGCAGGTTAGTCTCCAGAGTGAAGGCCCTTCCCTCCTGCTTCCCTTCTTTGCCTCCACCATGGGCCAGGCTCTGGTCTTCCTGTCTCCCAGCCATTCCCAGCCCACTGACCACACTCCCACAATGCACCTCACCGCAGACAGCCGGGGTAAAGGTGTTCGGACTCGGAAAGAAGTGACGGAGGCAGAGCCTGCTGCTTCCTGGAAAGGTTTCCTGGCGAGCTCTGTCGCGAGGTGAGGGGCCATCCCTGCTGTCCCTCCATCATAGAAAGGAGCCCCTTTAAGCTGAGGGTTGGTTTCCCGGGAAGAATGTGAGGAGACTGCGGACCCCACGAGATGGGAGAAGCCCTCCTCTACTTGCCCAGGCCTGGCTCACGGGACACAGTGGTGGTGCTGCCCCACCCGTCAGGCTCTAAACCGTTCGCCCCAAGTCACCGTAGGTTCCAAGAAGAGGCCACGTGGCTCTGGGACTGGCCGCCCAGGAGCCCGGTGGCCATCCAGCCCAGGAAGGGCTTCTCGGTCCCATTGTCCCTCAGCCTCCATCTCCCTTGGCCCAGCAGTTTGGTTGAGCTCCCTCCAGTTGGGGTGCTGAAGCAGTGCTGGCAGCCTCCACAGAGGCTCACCCCAACCCCTTACAAAAAGCACAAGCACCCCCAGAGCTCAGGTGGAGCCCACGAGGAGCTGAAGACACTGCTTTTCCGAGACGAGGCCCTCCTGGTGGGCTGAGCCTGGCCCAGGAGCCCTGACACCGTGGCCTGCAGGCGGCTCAGGGAGGGGGCCCGCAGGTGGCCCAGGGAAGGAAGCGGGGGTCTGTTCTGTGACTCAGATGGGGCTCAAGCCCGTCCTCAGCCCAGCTCACCAACATTCAAAAGCACAAACCCCGGACTCTGCTTGGCTGGGTTCTGCTCTGGGGTGGGGCCAGTGTCCACCTGAGGCCAGAGACAGCAGCGAGAGCTGGGGCCTGAGGTCGGTGGGAGGCCCACAGGGGCCTCCAGGACACACAGAGTGGTGACTGCTTCTGCCTGGCCAGGCAGCAGGGACTTCCGAGGCACATTCCCAAACATACATTCCATCGGCTGCCATCCCACCTCTGCTCGGCCTGGCCCAGGGTGAGCAGGGCCTTCAAGAGAGGGTGGGATGGCAGAGGTCATGGAGACTGGTCTGGTTCGGGCATGGGGACTCCTGGGCACCACAGGTGGTCCTCCCCTTGGAGTTGCACTGACACCCCATCTCCAGTCTGACTGGGGGTCCCTCTCTTCCTCCAGGAGGCATCAGCTTTCCCTGGCTCAGGGATCTTTCACCCCCCCCCCACCTGCCCCCAGCCCAGCCCCCCAGCTGGTGTAGCTCTGCTTCTCAGGGACCAGGTCATCGGAGAGGGTCACACCATCCCTCTGCCCCCCTTGGCCTTGGCCAGACTGGCTGCCAGGAGAGGCCTGTCACCCATGCTGGGACGAGGACTGGACGCATGTCTGCATGGCAGAAACGTCTCCCCTGGGCACACCTGGGAGGGTGGAACCTGTTCTCAGCGCCCACCAACATCAGTCCTGTATATTTTAATAAAATAAACTTGACAAAGAAGTGGGACTCACTTTGACTTATCCTGTGAGTTTTGGTCCAGCCCCTCACACTTCTGCTCTCTTATCTGGCTCCTGCCCAGTGCTATGCTGGTGAGTGTTTAACAGGCCCTGAATGGTAGCTGGTTTCCACGCTGGATTTCAAGCTCCTGATGTGATGTCCCTGAAGGCCAGTTAGAAGCTTTTATGAGAAATGCCAGCCTGCAGCTCCCACACAGAGCCAGCTGGCAGGGTACCTTCTGGAGGTGCCATTTATGTCTTGTCCTCAGATCACTTTTCTCTACCAGTTCCAGGATATCATTTCTGCATGTCCCCTGGGCTGGAGGGCACAGGACACAGAGCAGAAACAGAATTTGCCTGAAATATGTCTCCCTTTCCTGCTTTTTATTTTCAAAAGTGTAAACTCAGGAAGGATTACGCCAGGGAAAGGGCAGTAAACGAAAACATGGGGAAGGAGAGAAAGGGGGTCCCTAACTTGGAGGCCTGGAGAGCTGGGTTGTAACTGCCTGGCTAATTAAACCACCTCTTCAGGATAATGCCTGTCCTCTGACGCTGGCGATTTTGCCTCCCACTACCCTGTCCTGAGCCCAACACAGAGCATGTGAAGACAGGGCTGCTGTGAGTGGGTGTAAGAGGCCGAACCTGGGGTCAAAAAGGTGATTCCCCTCCTCACTGCAGTGTCAGTTTGCACAAAGCACTTCCAGCCTCAGATGCCCCATATGTAAAATGGGTGCAATCATCCCTCCTCTCCTCAATAATATACCAGAGATTTGCCTTTGTCAACCAGCGCGTTATAATTTGGTTTCTTCTACCGCATTTGCCCAATGATGGAAATGGTGTCCTGCTCAAAGGCAGGGACCCGACACGGGGGAGCGCGGCGTCCAGTCCAGGGCACAAAACGTCAGGAAGATTAGCTCTCGCTGTGACAGAAGGGGGCCTTCCTGCAGGCTAGCCCGGGTACCACCCAGAGGCCTGTAGGCTCCAGCGGGGCCCGCCCTCCAGCGTGGCCCCGCCCCTATCATTGGCCCCGCCCCCAGCGTTGGGCCCGCCCTCAGCACGTGACTTCCGGGACAGGACGCAGCGCCCTGCTACTGGCAGTCGTGCTAGACGTCACCGGAGCGCCGCCTCTGCCCACGTCTAATCCGAGAAGCCAAGGACGCGCTGCAGCGGAGGTCCCCCTGCGGGTCCTAGTCTCTCGGCGCCCGCCAACCCCAGCCCCAGCCCCGCGACCTGGTCCGATAGCGCAGGGCGCGCTCCCGACACCCGCCGCGGCCAGGTAGGTCGGGTTCGGGCCGGCGTGGGGGCTTCCCCCGCGCGAGGCCGGGACTGGACCTCGGGTCGCCACTCAGATCGCACCGCCGGGCGCTCGTGAGCGTCCACTGAATGCAGGGGACCAAGCCGAGCACGTAGGAAACCGAGGGGCTGGCCGGGCCCGATGCGTGGGACTGACGGTGGGACGCTGTCCCAGGTGCACACTTGCGTGTTTCCCTCTCACGTCGCTGCATCCTTTGCCTGGGTTGGAAGAGCTCAGGCTTTGCTGCAGAGATGGAACGAACAGCTGATGCGCCAGGGCCACGTTCTGAAGGTGAAGGCTCATCTGAAGGCCTCAGGGCCCCTTTCTGTAAAACAGGGCGCACTGCGGAGATTATGGTAGGACCAGCGAGAACCTGCATGTGCAGTTCCCGTGGGAAGGGCACAGTCAGTGTGGGGTGGGGGTCATCTTGGAGAGCAGGTGAGCAGCCAGCCTTATCCCAGAGGCAGCAGGCAGCCAGCAGGTTCCCCTGAGCGTGGCTGAGAGAGGCAGAGTGTCTGGGCATGAGAATCTTTTGGAGGACCCTACTTCTCACCACAGTTTTATGGGTATAAAGTGCCCTACGCGGGGTGGGCTAAAGCTACATTATGTTGCGTGTACACCACCTGTTTCTGAACCAAAAACTTCAATGTCACCTGGACATGGATTGAAGCCCCAGCTCTTTCCCCTCCTTGGGAACATGGGTAATCCCTTGACCTCTCTAACTCTTATTTACATCTGTAAAATGGACTAACAATACCTACCTGCCACGATTATGAAAATGAATCAGACATTGTGGATAAAGCCCTTAAATGAGACCTGGCATTCAGTGGGAGTGATTACTGTTGTATTTTAGCGGGTGGAGTGTCTGAGCACTTTGTCTAGAGACCAACCTTTATCGGTGGCAGATTGGGCTTATATAAGACAGGAGGGCAGGAGGCTTGAAGCTCCATTTTTCTGGTCAGACTCATTGGCCAGCACAGTAGTTAGTTCAGTTACCTGGGTTTAATGTGTCTCTAGCTGAACAAGGCCGATTTAATCGTTAGACGAGGACCAGGAGTCTGGGACTAACCTCCACATGCCTGAGCAGAAAGGGCCGAATTTACAAGCAAGGAGCCAGGTAGGGGAGGGACTGTTCGGAGGTCAGACTTAGATTAGAAACAAAACAAAAGGGATTTCTCTTTGAGTGAACTGGAACTTGAAACAGGGTTTGAGCCCTGTTGGAACCTTCTAGGTGATTTGAAGAAGGAGGGTACAGCCATGCCTCCTGAGGTTGACAATCACCAAGCTTTCCCTCGTAGTGAAAAGTCAGCCCCTGCTTCAGGCATTTGTTCATTCAACAGAGAATAGCTGAGAGCCTCTGCGTGCCAGGCACAGTGGACAGGCAGCAACCTTGGTTCACCCACAGGCCATTGTTATTCACCGGGAGAAAGGTGAGGCCCCAGAGCGGAGAGGAGACAGCCTGGTGAGGTCTGCAGCCTTTTCCCTTAGGCAGCCTGGGCTCCAGCAGGAAAAACTAAGCATTAACTGTCTGGAGAGGCGGGTAGGGGAAGCTCCTGGAAGGCTGGAGCATGGGGGATTGTGGCTTGGTAATGGGAGCAGCGGGGAGCATTTTAAGTGGGAGGGTAACAATCAAATTGTCATTTGAAGAATTGCTTATGGCAGGTGTGAAGCCATTTTTCCCAGCGGCCATTTGCTTATGGTGAGCCCCACTCTTACCTAATCCCTAGTCCTGCTCATCTTAGCCCAGCCCAGCCCAGCATCACTTCCTAAGAAACTAGACAAAGCCCTGCCCCTGTGAAATCAGACCAGCAGGGAGCTCTTCTGCAAGGGAGCAGGGTAGCCCCAGCTTTCCTCTCACCTGTTTTACTGAAGAACCTTAGAAATCTTATATGTCAGCAGCTTCCATTTATAAAGGGGTGATTATCCAAGGTCACAAAACCTCTTCTTCACACTGCCTTGGTCACACTTGCTGGACTCTTGATTGTCACAGCAGGAGTCCCATTGCTGAATCCTATCCATTGTTAACATCACTTTTCCTGTGAGCAGAATGGCAGGGCTGCGTATGTCTGACTAGACCGTTTGCCTCGGTGGTGCAGGCACAGTGCAGGTTTCCAGAAAGCACTGGTTGAAGGGAGGCTGGATTCCCAGGCACCTAGCTCAGGGCCTCACATGAAGTAGTTGCTCCTCTAGAAAGGTTTCATTATGTGCACTGAATTGAGCAAAACCCACCTTATGAGCACAGAGGGTGAAATAACTTACAAATCCAGACCACTTCCGTGTGGTGTGCCAGAACTTGGGGGCTGGAACTCGAGGGACATTGGGATCCTGACGATGGCTCCCAGCCTCCTCTGTACCCTGTGACCCACTATTTTCTCCATAGACTGATGCTGCTCTCTGCTAGAAGAAGGCTGCTCACAGCTCTGCTGCAGGCTCGGCGCTGGCCCTTTCAACCCTCCAGAGACATGAGACTGGTGCAGTTCCAGGCCCCCCACCTGACCGGACCTCACCTGGGCCTGGAGTCAGGGAATGGCGGAGGGGTCATCAACCTCAATGCCTTTGACCCCACACTGCCCAAGACCATGGTAGAGTTCCTGGAGCAGGGAGAGTCCACTCTCTCAGTGGCGAGAAGGTAAATCAGCAGGCAGTATCACCCTGTGTTGGTTGCCCTGGGAAACAGAACCAGCAGGTAGCTCTTTTGCAGGGAAGCAGGGTAGCCTGAGCTTTCCTTTCTCACCTGTTCTTTTAGTAAAAAGATTCTTAGAAGTCTTATCTGACAGCAGCTGCAGTGTTTAGTGGGGCCCAGGAAGGGTGATTATCCAAAAACCACCAACTCCACTTCATCACAACTTCCCTGGGGCTGAAGTTGCTGCCTGCCCGGGAGGTGTGGGACCCAGGATCCTAAGTAGCATCTTGAGAAGTTGGAGGAGTGATTGGACTCTTGGCTGCTTAGGGAAAAGAGAATTGCATGGAGGTTTTCTTGGGTTTGGGCTAGATTAGATGGTGACTTCACTGAGGAGCCCTGTGGCATTTGGTCTAAAGGTAATGGTGAACAGTAACAACCACTTTGAGATATCGTTTTACCTATTAAACTGGTGAAAATACAAATGTTTGACAATACACAGTGTTGGTAAGACTATGTTTCCCAAAATTCATCTTCTCCCAAGATTGGAACCTATTTCGTATCCATCAATAGGGAATTGAGTGTGTTTCTATAGTGCAGTAGTATGTAGCCATAATAAACTGTTATAGTGAGATCTTTAAAATGTATATTTTAGTAAGGTGTATAAAGAGTGCTATCATTAGTATAAAATGACAAGAGGAGAATAATAGAATAGCTGCGAAGAGCTGCATAGGACACTGTATATCTCCAAGGCTACAGCGGGGTGAAGAGGAGAAAGGGTAGAAGAAAGATCTTCCCAGTTACTCCCATCTGCACCTTCTGAATTCCTTTACGTGGACATGTATTACCTGATGGGGGGAAGGAAATCCACATTGGATAAATATTAAACCATGCTCTGATGTCAAAGACAATAGCTGACCTTGATTTTCACACTGACTCTGATGGTTGATCTAAAAAATATAGACAGCAAAACCTGCAGCTGCGCAAGGTTCTCCCCAGCATGCCCAGGACTGCCAGCCTGCTCCCATCCAGCCCCTCTCCTGCTCTGGTCTCTGCAGAGCCCTGGCTGCCCAACTGCCAGTCTTACCACGGTCAGAGGTGACCTTCTTGGCTCCAGTCACACGGCCAGACAAGGTGGTGTGTGTGGGCATGAATTACGCGGACCACTGCAAGGAACAGAACGTGCCTGTGCCCAAGGAGCCCATCATCTTCAGCAAGTTTGGCAGCTCCATCGTGGGGCCCTACGATGAGGTCATCCTCCCTCCTAAGAGCCAGGTGGGTGCCTCCCCATGGCCCTCTCAAGTCACTGGGGCCCATTACAGAGGCGCAGCACCCAGCTTACAGGAGCCACCAATAGTGCATTAAACAGAAACTATAGGGATTATAGAGTAATAAGACTGGCCTCATGAAAAGAAATTAAGAGAACTTTCTGTTATTTCTATTTGGATTACAAAAGTAATATACTTTCATTATAGGCACTTATAAAATTTAGTATGCACCTTCTAAGAATAAGGACAATGTCCTATGTAACCATAATACCGTTATTGCAACCAAGAATATTGTCATGAAGAACCTCTGATACGAAGTCCAACTGGGAGGTGACTTTCAATTTGGATACTGCTTTGTTGTTTGCTGACCCAGGATCAAACAAGGTCACACAGCGCGTTTGGTTATGTCTCTTTGGGACCTGCAATCTACAGCTCCACAGGAATCCATGAGCTTTTTCTCCAAGGGCCAGTTAGTAAATATTGGAGTTTGAAGCCAGTAGTGTCTGTTGCAATAGTTCAACTTTGCCACTGCGGTGTGAACACAGTCACAGCTGATACATAAATGAATGAACGTGGCTATGTTCCAGGAAAGCTTTATCTACAGAAACAGTCAGCAACCTTGGTTCACCCACAGGCCATGCTTTGCTGACCTCTTTCTCTGCCCCACAGCCTACTGCTGTTTTTTCCTTATTTTTATTTTTTTCATGTTTTTATTGATTTCAGAGAGGGAGGGGAGAGATAGGAACATCAATAATGACTCATTGATCAGCCGCCTCCTATACATCCACTGGGGATTGAGCCTGCAACCTGGGCATCAAACCGGGATTTCTTGGTTCATAGGTGAACGCTCAACCACTGAGCCACCCTGGCCAAGCCCATTTTCTATCTGTTGTGACACAAGTTGTCTCACCATGTCCTATGGTCTGGACTTATCTGATTGTGTCTTCATGATCAGATCTAGGTTAAACATTTTTGTCAATAGTTCTACACAAATGTCTCAGTCCATTTAGGCTACCATAACAAAATATTCTAGGTGGCTTATAAACAACAGACATTTATTTTTCACAGCTCTGGAGACTGAAGTGCAAGATCAAGGGACTGATAAATTTGGTGTCTGGGAAGGCCAATTCCTGGTTCCTAAATGTCTTTTTCTGTGCTCTCACATATAAAAAAAGACAGGGAACTCTCTGGGGGCTCTTATAAAGGCATAATCCTCATGGGGTCTCTGCCCTCATGACAATCACCTTCCAAAGACCACACCTCCGAATACCATCATATTGAGGGGTAGGTGTCAAGACATGCATTTGGAGGGACACAAACATGCAGTGTATAGCACAGATGTTGTGTCCTCACACTGTGTCCCATTGGGAGACTCCTGTCAGATGCTTAAAGTTTGATCACTTGGTTTACTGGCTGTTCATTAGGCCTCCATTGTGAAGGTGCATTTCTGTGGCATTCAGCAATCTAGTTGTTTGAGACCAGGGACTATCTTATTGCCCCACTGTTTTCATCTAAAGATTCCCTGGTCATCCTTACCTTACTCTAATGCACTGGGCGTTAAAATGGGATTTTTTTCCACCATGCCTTCTATTCTTTATTAGCTGGCATTCTGTGAACAAGGTGCCTCCTTTTTTTTCTTTTTAACTCCATTCCTTTAGTATTATAAATTTCTGATTTTTATTTTTATCCAACATGTTGTAATCCATCACTTACAATCTTTTACATGCAAATGATCTGTTTGGCCAGTGGGCGGCTCAAATTGGCCTGCAGCCCCATCACTTTTTGAGCACTTGCTTGCTTTCTAAGATAGCACGGGCTCATTAGTATATTAGACCTGGAATTAGCCGTTTCCCCAAGGAACCTGGTTCTTTCTAGTGGGGTGCGATGCTAGAGATCAAAGTCAGTGTCAAGTATACTCATAGTATCTCTGGACCATTCAAAAGAGCAGCCAGTTTAAAACATTAGATTGTTTCTTTTTCTATAGCACTTTGCTAAAATTGGAAAGGCTGATTGTTTTCATTTTCTGTGGCCTGTGTATTTTTGGTAATTGTTTATTCAAGCTTTTTGCCCACTTTTATTTTGGCTTGTTCATCTTTTTATTTAAATGAGTTAATGCATTAATGCACTAGAATGGTGCCTGGCACACAGTAGGATTATTATTACTTGGTATCCATCCTTTTTTGGAAGTATTAAGAATGACTTTTAAAAAATATATGTTTTTTTTTATTGATTTCAGAGAAGGGAGAGGGAAAGAAACATCAATGATGAGAGATAATCATTGATTGGAGCCTCCTGCACAACTCCTACTGGGATCAAGCCCACAACCCAGGCATATGGCCTGACCAGGAATCAAACTGTGACCTCCTGGTTCATAGGTCAATGCTCAACTGAGCCACACCAGCCAGGCAAGAATGACTTATAAATCCAGTCCTCAGACCAGTGTTGCTCTTCTAGTCACCATGGGAACTGAACCTGTATTAGTGGTGCTGCCTGCCGTTGCCCAATGTTTATGGGTGTAAAATCACACTCCCTACCGCTCTGGTTCATTTTATGACTGTGGGCCAGCAGCTGACCCCGCTGGTGGGGGCCTAGACCCCAAGATATGCGTGCAGCCCCTCAGCACTGGGAGAGACCCAGAGCCAAGTGGTTTATGCTCCTTTCCCACTGCAGGAGGTGGACTGGGAAGTGGAGCTGGCCGTGGTCATTGGGAAGAAAGACAAGCACATCAAGGTGAGGTTGAGTGGGTGGTACCCACTATCCTGGCCTTAGGAAGCGGTCGGCTTGGGCACCTGCCTTGTTCCTTGCCTAACTTTTGGTGAGCTCTGGCTACTAGCGTGGGATAAAGGTTTTGTTATGGGGGCTAGTGTCACTGTTACCTAATCTCTAATCTGGCCAAATCCCCTGCCCCCATAGGCCACAGATGCCATGGCTTATGTGGCTGGCTTCACTGTGGCACATGACGTAAGTGCTCGTGATTGGCAAATGAAACGCAATGGAAGGCAGTGGCTGCTGGGAAAAACCTTTGACACTTTCTGCCCCCTGGGTCCTGCTTTGGTGACCAAGGACAGTATAGCAGGTAGGTCTCTGACAGTGCCTATGATAATGCATCTTGCTCTGCTCAGATATGTCAGAGCAAAGAAATAGCAACGCTCAGGAAGTGGGAGTGTGGGACAGTTCATTGTGGAGCCCCCCCTCCCCAGCTGCCCTTCACTGATTCCCTACAGAGCAAGTCTCAACCTGGGCTCAATGGACCTTCCACATCCCCTCACCCTCTAGAGGACCACAGCCATAGAGGTGGTGAATCTGCATTCGTCAAGTGAATTATAGGAAACAGTGTTCCCCTCATGGTGGTTAAACTCTTCCTAGCTGCCATCTGGGAGTCTAGATTGGAAGGAAGCAAAGCTGGCCCTTGAGCATCACAGAGAATGGCTGTCACAAAGCCCATGCATTTTCCTGTCAGGGAGACAAGACCAACAGGACCCTGCCCAGCCACTGTGGCCAGGGCAACACTGGCTACCAGCAGCAAGGGCAGCAGGTGCTGAGAAGAAAGGCCATGATGCAAAGGGCAAAGCATGGCATTTTGGTTGGGGGGTGTGTCCAGGGGGTCAGCCGTCAATCAACCGTGAAGTCAGATTGTGTTCTGTCTGCTCTAAGAGGGTGTGTTTGTGAATGTGTGAAACAAAAGACAAAAATGTGTTTAGCCAGAACATTTACTGGTGTGCCACCACCTGCCAGTCAGGAACCAAAGGTTCACTGCCCTGTTCCTGCAGTTTCCTTTTTGCATTACAGGTGCTGAATCTTTATTATTGTCAGTTGTTGCTGTGGATAGACGTCCTTCTTTTAAAGCAAAATTGCCATTTTTTCCCTCACCCTGGAGGGTCTGGGACACATTCAGGTGGGGTTGAGGAAAAGCAGGAAGAGGTCCAAGGTGGTGTTTTATGCATTTCAGATCCACACAACTTAAAGATCTGCTGCCGGGTGAATGGGGAGGTGGTCCAGAGCAGCAACACCAATCAGATGGTGTTTAAGACAGAAGAGCTGATAGCCTGGGTCTCCCAGTAAGTGAGATGAAGCCCTGTCCTACACAGCTACCTGCATCTGAGCCCTCCATCCCTGGCTATGGCCCCTCAGCCCCTGATCTCACCTGGCCCTTTTGCTTGCCCCAGGTTCGTCACCCTTTACCCCGGGGACATCATCTTGACGGGTACCCCCCCAGGTGTTGGTGTATTCAGGAAACCTCCTGTCTTTCTCAAGGTAGGTTGGCCAAAAGAAGGAACAGGAGGACCCAGAGGTCTGACAGGCATGGCTCAGGCTGGAGAAGCCCAGGCCTGTGCATGTATGTGTAGATTTGTGTGTGTCAGACTAAGGTCTGACAACCTGGCAACCACTCCATTGCAGAAGGGCGATGAAGTCCAGTGTGAGATTGAAGAATTGGGTGTCCTTATCAACAAGGTGGTGTGATGGCTCCTGCTGAAGGTCCTGGACTTAAGATAGAGGTGGGCATCCACTCTCACTGTACAGGGCAAGGCCCAGTGCTTGCCCCCTCAAGGCTCCTCATCTAGGTAGAGGAGGGCATCTCTCCTCTTCAATAAACTTCTCAGACACTTGGCTTCTGCCTGTCTTTTACGATTTGTTTCAAGGAGCACAAGATAAGGACATTGCCATGGGGTGCGGTAAGAGAGAAGATACTACATAACCCAAAACACACTGCTGGGCTTGGAAAGAGGACCTGTCCAGTCCAGTCCTCTTGTTTATTACACCAAAGGATGGAGAAAGCAAGAGGCAGCGAGAGACAATCGAACCTCAATGATTTTACGGGCAGCCTCTGGCTCCAGGGCTTGGTGTGTGCTGGGGCTGAGAAGTCTCAGCACAGGCTTAACCCACAGTTCTAGCTACAGATGAATTGCTGGATGAACTGTTCCAGCTTTTCCTGATTGTCCTGGCTGGCAAATGTAGGGGACAGGTGGAGCATGGGGCCTGCAGGGCTGGGCGTCTGCTGCAGAACCTATGCCATGGAGAAAGAGTGAACACTCACCATGGGGAAGCCTGCAGTGAGATCTCTGGCCCCCTAGGCCATAGGGTTTGAACACAGTGCAGCCTCTTACACCATCCCCAGTACCCCACCTGGGAGTAGAATAAAGAGGTAGTCTGGGAGACCAAGGACAGGGAAACCATCCCATCTCCAACTCCTGCCGCCTGTTCTTGGGAGACGGTGGGGAAGAACCAGAGTGGGCATAGGTGGGCTTCCCTGAGCAGCTCTCAAGATGGAGGGAGAGGGGACAGGAGGAGGAGGGTGAGACTGGCCCCGCTTACCCCCAAGTCTCTGAAGGTCCAGACAGCTTTGATGGCGAGACTCGGGTCCGCACACTCTGGTGGAAGAAAGAAGCTGAGCTTGAGTGAGTACAGAGAGATTCTGGCATAGGCTTCTCCTCTTGTCGAAAGAAGGAACCACCCCAGGCAGGACTCAGATTTCACCTAAAGGCCTTTCTACTGTAGCCCTCCTTCCTGGAGTGGGGTTGTCACTGCCCAGTAGAGGGCAGCAACCACCAGCAAGCCCCTACCTGCTGGGCACCACCTGGCTGATTGGGACTCACCGAAGAACCCGTCCTCCTGGGCAGTGGCCTGCAGGAACTGGAACAGCTGCTCCACATAGCCTGACACTGTGGGGCAAAGGAGACTCAGGCCTGGCACAGGCACAGCCTGAGCTCTCAGCCCCTCCCTACGGAAGTCCAGGAGAGTTTGGGCCTCACCTGTGTCAGGCAGCCGGCCCTGGTGGAGAAAGGTGGCAGCTTGTGCGAAGGCCTTGAGCAGCGGGTTAAGCAGGCGGCACAGGAAGAGGAAGAAGTCGGGGCAGCGAGACTGCTGACTGAGCTGGAGGGGACGGACCAGGTCAGGGCAGCTCCCACTGTCTCCCCTGCCTCCTTCCCCAATGGCTTCTCCCAACGTACCCTGAAGTACCGGCCCTCAGCCTCCTCGAAGTCGTCACTGTCACTATCAGTAAAGTCCCCACTCGGTTTCCACAGCAGCTTGGCCCTCAAACGCCGTCGCCCTGTGTCACAAGCCTGCCGGGAGCCTGGGGTCTGGGAGTCGGAGGAGCCATTGGTCTGTCAGGCTGGCCAAGATTCAGCCCCGAGCCCCCAGATCAAGTACATGGCAGACCAGGCACTTGAGGAAAACCAGTAAAAGCAGACCTAGGGAACTCAGGAGGTTTCTGCAGGCCACACAAGACCTGCTGAGCCAACTTGCAGGGTGAGAGGAATAGGCACCCACCCTCAAGGTCCACAGCCCTGTGGATAAGAAATGGGGCAGGAGGAGTGCAAAGACCCTCAGCGGTATAACTGTGCAACCCTGTCACGATAGCTACGTGGGCCCAGTGCTGGTACGGCCCACCAAGTCCATGGGACACAATAGCAGAGGCACTGTCTTCAGTGGCCCTACCTACCTCCTCAGCGACCAGAAGCCCACACTGGATGAGACGGTCCAGCACCTCCTGACAGTAGCAGTAGGAAGATTGGCAAGGCTGGGGAGAAAGGCATCAGGTAGCCTTAGGAGAGCCAGAAAGGGCTTAAGGGCAGGGGTGGGACAGGCACAGCCCCTCCTGTAACTGAAGGGGTGCCAGGCCCGAGGGGGCAGTGGGAGGCCTGACCTGCAGCAGCAGCATGTCCTGTGGCAGCAAGTGCAGCAGCAGCAGGACCTGGCGATACAGCTCATTCTGGCCCAGCAGCTCGATGCCCTGCAGCTCCCAGGGCCCCTCTGGTGGCACTTTGCTTGCCAGCAATGCCCGAACTGCACAGGCTGGGGAGGGGTCAGGCATGAGGAAGGAAGCCATTCCCTAATCTGACACCCCACCCATCCCTGAGCCCTCAGGACTCACCACCCAGGGCCTCATTCAGGAAAGCAGGCAGCAGCTGGGCGCTCAGGCGTGCCAAGTGCATGAGGCCTGGGCCGGGCCGAGTGACCACCAGCAAGTCCCCCTGGTGGATGCGCAGCAGAGCCACGTGCGCCCGCAGCAGGCTCAGTGTGTGCCGCACCAGGCACCGCAGCTGACCTGAGAAGCCCACGTCAAAGCCACGCAGCAGCGTTTCCTCTGTCAGCCAGGAGAACTCCCCCAGGAGCTGCGACAGGTACACACCCTGGTGGGCAGTACCAGGGCTGAGCAGCAAGGTCACATCCCTTCCCCAGCCATCCCTCATCTTCCCATCACACTGCCTACCTTCTGGTGCTTAAACAGCAGCAGCGTCGCCATAATGGCTGTGCTCATCACTGCAGAGCTTGCCACACTGGCTGTAGTGGGGGTGGGGGATACTGGTCAGGAGCTTAGGTCCAGCAGCTGGTTCCATCACCCATTATTTGGGCCAAGAACAGTCCTCTCCTGCTTCGCTGGCAGCAGCCTGCCTCCCCAACAACTCTATCCCAGGGAGTTGTAGGCACCTTCCCAGTGGAGAACTGGCATTACTAAGTGTATACTGAGACAGGCATGGAGCCAGGGACCTTCCCTGCCTACAGGCCTACCTACAAACCCAGTGTCTGACACAGAGGCGCACCTAAGAAGACAGTAGTAATGACCATTTTATTAAAGAGTCCCTCTGTGCCAGGCACTGTGTTAAGTCCCTCACATGCATTATTCTAGTCAGTGACCCATTTATAGTGCAGATCAGAGAGGTGAAGTGGTGAGCTTGAGACAGGGCCAGGGTGACCTTGGATCCAGGCATCTGCCCTCTGCACAACCCATACTCTGCAGCTCAGGCAGCCATCTGTGTGCACTCACTAGGGGCTCCCTCATGTTCTCCCTGGTTGCTTCACTCCTCCTCACGTTTCCCAAGTGAGCCACACATGAGGGAGGGTCAGGTACAGAAACCCACTTGGAATGGAGGGCCCCTAAGACCTGCTGACCCAGAGAGAAGGAACAGCGCAGGACCCTCCCCAGTTGCCCAGACCTAGTTCCCCTCACCATTCAGGGTGTGACGGCTCAGCCTTCTGACCAGGAGCTGGTCTTCTTCCTTGAGGGCCAGAAGGGGCCCAGTTATTGGGGTCCACTCCTGCTCCTTCTCAGTGTCGGGGACGACAGTACTGGGACAGAGACAGATCACAGGATGAAGGGAGCCAACCTAAAGACAATCTTGGGGAAACCCAGAGCATTCTCAAAATGGTGTTTCCCCAGCTCAGCTCCAGGGCAAGATGGCTCCCCAGCCCTTTCTAGCCCTGCCATTTCCCACACTGAGATCAGAGGTGAGGAGGGGTGTGAGGCTCTGTTCTAGATGACCCACAGTATCTGATGAGAGGAGGCCGGAGCTGGTGATGTCAATGGGGATGAGTTGAAGGACTGTTTGCTGTGCCCCTGAGAGCCACACCTTCCCCTGCTGCTACCCCTACCTTTGGCCCAGCACAATGGGCTGCAGTAGCTGCTCCATGGTCTGCCTGCTGCCCCAGCAGCTTCTCGAATTGGTGGTGAATTCCTGCCCAGAACATGACTCTTAAATGGCCTATCTGCCCACCAAACACCTGCACACAGTCCACGGAGGTAGGCGAAACTATCCCTGTAGTGGCCCTGAGGGCCAAGCTGCCAGAAGCCCCATGCAAACCACAGATCCTTCCAATTTTGCCCAGCAGACATCATACCTGCAGGGAGAAAGGCTGGGCCAGGTGCACACGGGCACAGACCTGGGGGCCGCAGCACCAGCCTCGCAGGCTATGTAGGACAGCCAGAGCTCCTGTCCACAGCCCCAGTGGGGCCGTGGCCTGCAGGAAGAAAGGGGCTAAGGGAGCTGGCTCCCCTGGTGCAGTGCTCTCTGCTCAACTTTATCTTGCAATCTGGTACATGACCATGACCTCTCCAAGCTCATGTTCTCATCCATAAAACACAAGAAATCCCTCCCTAGTGGAGTCTTTTGTGTATGAAAAGAGGACTTCTGTATCAGCAGGGCAGGTGCCACAGGATGACTGTAGGGGGATAATTCCTTTGCACCTCCCTGACCCTCGCCCTGGGGGGCACTCAGCCACAGGACATAATATACTGTGCCTCCTCTCTGGAGTTGGTGTCCACTTGGAGTTCCAAGTGGCAGGAGGGTCTCACATGGTGTGTATCACATACATCTGGAACCAGGTCATAGGTGACAGCCACCGGCACCAGCATAGCATCTTGGACAACACCCGTCTGGACGGCCTGCACCACCAGTCCCAGCCAGGCCTGGCCCAGGGCCGACAGCCAAGGCCCCTGGGTCCCAGGGAGCTCTTCCAGGAAGATAAGCAGGGGCTGCCTACTGACCAGCAGCTGCTCCACAACCTGGAAGGGGTGGGGAGGTGGTAGCAGAGGCAGGTGTCAAGGCCAGAGCAGCAATAGGCACTGATACCCTGGCCTGAGCCCCAAACACAGAATACACTGGAGGCACTCACCGCTTGGACCACAGCCCTTGCAAGAACCCCTTCGGAGCTGTCCAGGGAGAGGTTGGCCTCTGGGGGCA